TGAGCTGGAGCCTCACAGAGATGTCTACATTTTTAAGATAAGAGAAGTTACCAATTGGGCTCTGTGGTAACAGAAGTTCTCCCCTTCTCAGGTGTTGTCCTTGAAGCACTAACTTGCCCAGAGCAGTGAAAGAAAAAGCTGCTTTTGGTTTTGGGGATGTGGCTCAAGCGGTAGCGTGCTCACCTGGCATGCCTGAGGCCCGGAGTTCGATCCTCAGCACCACATACAAACAAAGATGTTGTGTCCACTGAAAACTAAAATAAATCTCTCTCTCTAAAAATAAATAAATAAATAAGAAAAAGCTGCTTTTATGTAAACTTCTGCAGATGGTGAACTTCTGAGTCCCTCCCTTTACATGCTGGGTATAAAGTTCTGGGCAGATGAGAATACTCGGGGTTCAAGGGATTAATTAATTACAGCAAAAGCTGTGCCCTCTGAACCTGGCTGCAGCCAAATAAAACTGTTTCCTGCTATCTTCAGTGCCTTGTCTATCTGCCCTACAACATTATAAAACTTATTTGGAAGTTATTGTTTTCTGTACTTTAAAAATGTTCCACCCACGTCCATTTGATCATTTGTATTTGTCCTTCAAAATCACAGATGATCTGATTTTCCTCTAAAAGAAGTTAACATCCTTTTACAGGATGACTTATCAGGCAGAGAATATGGGTGTGTATGAGGTGGGTAGGGGTGGATACTGATGATATTCCCCACACAGAAAAACATTTTGGAGATTGTGAAGAATAAATAGGGTTCCTAAAACAATTAATTTTTTAAAAAATTATTTATTTATTTATTTTAATTAGTTATATATTTCAGAAGAATTATTTTGATTCATTGTACACAGTTGCACAGTTGCAGCAGTTGCAACTTTTCATTTCTCTTATTGTATATGATGTAGCATCGCACCATATGTGTGGCCATACATGTACCTAGGGTAATAATGTCCATTACATTCCACCATCTTTCCTGCTCCCATACCCCCTCAAACATTTTCTTTTCTTGTTTATACTAATAGCAAATTTTTGTAACAATTTATATTTTGCAGAAATACATATTAAATGCAGTTTTCTATAACTTTATCCCAAATGATAATCTCTGTGGGGCTGGGATGTAGTTCAGGGGCAGAGCACTTGCCTAGCATGTGTGAAGCCCTGAGTTCTATCCCCAGCACTATAAAAAGAAAAAGGAAAGGTAATCACTGTGAAAATATTTAACATTATTGTTACAAAAAATGATCATAACATAGTTTGTAACTTTTTTTTGTCCATATACCTTTGGCATCTTAAGTTTTTAAAAGTGAGTGCTATTTTAATGGACATAGAAATTTAAATTCACAAATGTTGAGTATTAGGTTTCCCAATTTAAATAAACAACATTTCTTTGTCCATGATTTGTATAGTAAGCATTTCTATATGGATGATTCCAAGAAGATCGAGGGGTATGGGCATATTAATTTCATTAGCTATTCTAAAAATGTACAAAACAATTATATCTCCACATGCTCGGAAACTGAATATTGCCCATTATTTTGTCTTTAGCAATCTGAAAAAAAAATAATATTTCTTGTTTTAAATTCTTTGTTAGGGAACCTTTTTCTATTCATTATTGTCCTTATTATTTGTATTTTATAAGTGTCTGCTTGAGTCTTTTGTCAGTTTTTCTATTGGTCTTTTCATGTTTGTATTTTATTATAAGAGGTCTTTGTATGTTAGGAAAATCAGCCCCATGTCTTTTATGTGTCTGGTATATTTTTATTTTTAACTTCTATTTTGACTTTTTTCATTCAAAATTTTAAAACTTTTTTTCAAAATCACTTTCATTTACATTTTTCTTTAGGATACTTTGTTCTTATTCTTTTCAAAGGCCATCCCCACTCTATAGATAATATAGCTTTCCAACCTGTCTGCCTGTTTCTGCCCTTGCTCAAACCCCTTCACATCCAAGTCTGGTTTTTGGTTTTTGTTTTATGTTTTAGGTACCAACGAATACACCCAGGGGCACTTAACCACTGAGCCACATCCCCAGCCCTTTTTTATATTTTATTTTGAGACAGAGCCTTGCTAAATTGCTGAGGCTAGCTTTGAACTTGTGATCCTCCTTCTCAGCCTCCCATGCAACTGGGAAAACAGGCATGCTCCACTGCACCCAGCACAAGTCTGCTTGTAATACAGCAACCAGAATATTATTTAGTACCTAAGTTTGATCATGTTATCTCTCTGCTCAGAAGCCCCAAATACTTCCCATCCTGAAGTAAAATATATATCTCCTTTCACTTTCCCATGGTCTTTCGCTCCTCCCAACACTCTTTTACTCATGTTCTCCAGACACATAAGTCACCTTTCTCTTCCTAAAATTCTTCAAATACACTCCAGGCTTTTGAGTTTGCTAACTTTCTCTATGAAACATCTTTATAAATGATGGCCTGTTCTCTCAGCTCCTTCAGTCTTTGCTAAATGAAGTCATCTGTGAGTATCTTGTTTAGATTACATTACTTCAATCTCACCCTAAAATTCCCTAGTTCCTTTATTTTCTTCTTAGAACTAACATCCACCATCTAATACACCATTTTTCTTGTTTCTTTCCTACCTCTCATCTCACATACACACTCAACTATTGTCATGGTATTCACACAAAGATAAACTACCTCATGGATTGCCATGGCAATGAAAAAAAAAATTAATTCATACAAGAATGGGAATTTACAATCCATGTATGTATAGTATATCCAAATATTCTCTACTGTTGTATATTTTTTAAAAAAAGAACAAATTTTAAAAAAGAAAAATAAGTTATGTAGTCATTTAAACCATGAGTGAGCCAATCTCCTTTGAGTTTTGCTCCTCATCCTTTTACTAACATAAGCAAGTTCTAGCAAGGAGAACCTCTATTATTTTAATCAGTATAATATGTTAATATTTTCTAACTAATGACTTCCTCCCTGGGACATTGTTCTAACTTCCTGGAATGTTTGTTTGCAGAACTCAGAAAACTATTTGCTATGTGCAGCATATATTCTCTCTCTCTCTATTCATAACTTTTTTAACCTAATGTAAACTTCTCCCCATGTGCTACTTCCCACAAAATGTTTGCACAAGATAGAGTCACTCTGGCAATTTGCCTCATTGTGACTCCAACAGGCTACAAATTCAATGAAAACAAGGGCAATGTTTTGCTCAAAAGTATAGTTCCAGTTTCTGGAATAGTGCCTGGCATAGATTTGTGGAAAGAAGGGGGAAAAGGAGGACAAAATGAAGACAGTATTTTTCACTCATCAGTTAGGCAAAGATCAAAATATAACATTATGTTGACAAGTATAGGTGAAAAACAACATCACCAGTGGGTTCTGTGATTGCTGACTTGGCACTTACCAAAGTATATCCCTACTCTATGATCTAGTAATTCTCTAAGTGTATAGACTATGAATATGTTTTTATGCACAGGAAATGATGTATATTCACAATAATTTATTGCGGCAGCATTTGAAAAAGAAAAATCGGAAGCAATCTACATAACCACCAATGAAGTAGCTATTAATAAATTATGGTACATAAACAATTGAATACTATAGAGTTTTAAAAAATTTTTTAAAGCAAGATTCAGGAGAACCTTCATGTTCAAGGTCAACTGTTAGGAGGAAAAATAAACAAGGTATAGATATGTTACAATTTGTGTAGCAGGTACATGGCGAGTGTAATATGTGTCTATGGAAAGATGTACAAGACTTGAGAAATATTTGTTGTCAAAACTATATGCCAAGGGACATTTATTCTTTTTAATAAATTTATGTAATTTTGCAATCTGTATTTGGGGTAAAAATGGGAGTTCATAACCCACTTGAATCTAATGTATGAAATATGATATGTCAAGAGTTTTGTAATGTTTTGAACAACCAATAAAAAAAATAATAAATAAATAAATTTATGTGAATGCACTAGTTATTTACATTACTTAATAACTAAGCCGAAAAATTCTCTAGAGGGAGAAAAAGTTGGTTTGGAGTATTGTTTTGTTTTTAAGTACCAGGCGACGTGCCTGTGGCCCTGCAGGCCCATCAATAGAGGTACTGAAACAGGTCCTCCACAGGCTAGAGCGGAGGAGAGAAGCTGTGAAGCTACCCCCAAGGCAAAGCTTCCTAGAGCGATCCAGAAATACCTGATGGTCGCCACGGGTCACTAACTAGTCTGAGTGTAGCCTTTGTTCAGGCGGTTTTGGGGTGTCAGCTGCTTCCCTTGTTCCTGTCCACTTGCGAGGTGAGTATTTCCAGACCCCCAGGTGGAAAAGAGTAAGGAATAGCACAGCTGTAGTCAGCAGCATTCCCCTTCCCACAACTCCCTGTCATGGGCGCTATGCACTGCCATTGTCCTACCCCCATCCCCAAAAGATCTACAATTGAGGATTTAGGGCGACCCTCCAGGCGGTCCTGGGGTGGAATGACACAGGTTGCAGGTTCCTCTCATGGAGACATCCATTAGACCCCATTCCTGGGTTGGCACATGACCTCCACAACCAATCCTGGGGACACAAGTAAACCCATGCATCTTAGATGTGGAATGGAAAAGCCTTTTAACAAAACTGTTAATACTTAGTGTTACTTCCATGATTACAAGCTGCCTTGCCAGGGCAAACCTTTGTCGTTTACTCCATACATTAACTCAGTGAGCAGCATCATTTTACATACATGTAAAATGTACCTCTAGTTAAACTCTAGTCTATCTAGGTAACTAATTTTCTCTAAATTGCATGGTAGAGCACACATTCAAATCCTGTCCCTGCTTTTCTGTTTTTTTTTTTTTTTTTTTTTTTTTTTTTTATATAGCCACTTATAAGACATTTTTTTTTTCTGACTCAGCTCTGGTGTGTTTATCATTGCAACAGCTTTTGTCATTTCTCTATGGTAACAATTTTTTATGCCTTGGGAGTGTCTTTGAAGCAAAATCCTAAGAGATTGTCCTTGAATCAATCCCAGATAAAGTATTAATGTCCTGGTAAAGCACAAAATGGCTTCAGCCCTGGAACCTAAAGAACAAAAAGGACTTATGATTAAAGCAGAGAACCATTATTGGGAACAGGACTCCATCTCAAGAAGTTTAGTCATTGTAGTAGAGAATTCTTCAGACAGCACTTCAGAAAGCTCTGCTATCAGGGTGCGCCTGGACTCTGTGAAGCTCTTACCCAGCTTTGGAGGCTCTGCCGCCAGTGGTTAAGGCCAGAATGTTACACCAAGGAGCAGATTTTAGACTTGTTGGTGCTAGAACAGTTCCTGAGCATTCTTCCTGTAGACCTGCAAGAATGGATGCAGGCACACCATCCAGAGACTAGAGAGGAGGCAGTAACTGTGCTGGAGGATTTGGAAAGAGAGCTTCATGAGCCCCAAAAGCAGGTGTGATGAGACAGTCATTAGACTGATCAGTGTATACAGACCAAGTCAAAACAAAAGTCATATGAAAGAAATACCTGAACATAATTCAAAATGTGTACCCTAGAAAAGAACAAGACTTAGTGAGGGACATAACTATGTCAATAGATAAAATATAACTGAGTAAAAAGAAAAGACAACACTAGACGGATTCTGTTTTAGTTTAGAAGGCTAGGATCAGTGAGAAGTTATAGGAAGGCAAATAGGCATCTGAAAGAAACAAGATTTTTCTGACATTTAAAACTACCTATAACTAAACTGGGAGAGACACTCCCTTTCCACAGAAGTATTGAAGTAGATTCAAGTAGATTTGTTAAGAACATTGTAGAACAGCACTGTTCAACAACTCTAATGTGAGCCAGATATATAATTTTAAATTTCCTAGTAGGAACAGAATTATTTAATAATAATTTTATTTAAAAATAAAAACAGGTAAAATTAAATGTTTTATTTAACCCAAAGTATGTAATCAATGTAAGACATGGTATTTTAGATTTTTTAGTATTGTTTTTGAAATTTGGTATGTATTTTATACTTAGTCTATCTCCATTTATACTCAACTTTACTCAAGCACATTTTGCTAGTGGCTACTATATTGAATAGCATGGTTATAGAAGAAATGCCCCCATTGCTATAGTTGGGCTAGGTGATTTTTTTTAGACATCTTCCAAATCCCAAAATTATGATCCTGGACTTCTGTGTGATCAATGGGAGAAGACAGGATTTTTTTTCATTTTTCTTGGACCAATGATAAAAATTTGACCAGTTTTCTATGATCCTAGCCCTTACAGATGCTTTATAAGACCCTTTATTTGAAGTTTTTTCAGTTGTCTCAAAATCTATCTATGATAAGCCTAATCATACTTCATTGTTCCCAGGTCCAAGCTAATTCATAAAGACAGGACATACTCTTGGACAGGTTGGCCCCCTTTGGAATGCCAAGTGAATTGCAGACTGTCCAGCTTCATCCCAAGAAGACCCAGCTGGAACTCGAACTTGGGAAGCTACATAGGAATGGTAAGGAGCCAGTTCTTTGTATATGAGAGAAGAGATGGTTTCTTAGGTTTGAGGTAACTTAGTCCATTTTCAATTGCTAGCAATACCATAGGCTAGATATGTAATCAACATAAGAAGTTTATTTTTGCTCTCAGTTCTGGTCAGGGTCTAGGGCTGCACCTAGTTGTTAGAGTCTGTAAACAAGTCAGGATGGCGCCTGGCAAATGTTAGAGTCTGTAAACAAGTCTGGGTGGCGCCTGGCATTTTGCCAGAGGGAGTGGTTTGTGAAGTAATGCCAGCGAGCCATTAAGTGTGGAGATTCCTTATTGGTTGACTGCTGTATCTATTTTATGTTAATTAAGATAAGCTGTGTGGAATGTATAAATACCTCTGTGGTCCTACAATAAACAGCTTCCACTCCTGCTGTATCAATGTACACAAGTTGTTCATCACCCCCCCCCCCCCAGTTATTTTGCTGCAGCCGGACTGCAGCACCTAGTGAGTGCCTTCTTACTGGCAGAGTCCCAAGGTAACACAAGACATCACATGTCAATGGACAAGGAACATGTGTGTGTCATCTGGGTTCTCTCCCTCTGTTCATAAAGCTACTGGTATTCAATCATGAAGACTCCACTCTGATGAACTCATTTAATCCTAATCACCTTTCAAAGATTTTATCTCTAAACACTATGCATACCTCACAATGGGGATTAAACCCCAACATGAATTCCAAAGAGGAAAAACCATAGCAGAGTGCAACTTTCTCATTTTTATCCTTTCCTTTTAAAGATTTCCCTTTTGTCTTCTACCTCACGGTGGGGAATTTTATCCTCTTTTTACCCTCGTCCCAAAACAGAATGAATTATTTCAGTTTTTCACTATATATATAAAAGCTGCTAGTTGACCAATGGGTAGAATATAGGGTTTAAATACTCATTCAAGTTAATAATAGCTTACACTTCTATCTGTTGTTATCTAATGATTCTAATTCCAGATTCTCTTAAGTTTTCATTTTGGGACAAGAGAATTCATGGTTTTTCTTATTAATCAGCTAGAGCTGCCGTTCAAAAAAAAAAATACCATAGACCGGGTGGTTTAAATGACAGAAATTTATTGTCTCATAGTTTTGGAGGCTGTAAGTCCAAGATCAGCATTAATTTCTGATGATGCCTCTCTCTTTGACTTGCAGACTTCTCACTGTGTCTTCAGTTGGCCTTTTCTCTGTTGTACACCATTCCTGGTATCTCTTCTTTTTACGAGGACACCAGTCCTGTTGGGTTACAGTCCTGTCTTATGATTTCATTTAACCTTAATTACCTTATCAAAGGCCCTTTTCTCAAATGAAGTCACATTAAGGGTTGGGGCTTCAATGTATGAATTTTTGAGAGGACACAACTCAGTCTACAACATAACACCATGCTAAAAGATGTAAGGAAAAGAGAGCAAGGATTTATTAGTTCAATAGAGTTGTTTTAAATTAGCTTAGTGAGTTAAACGGGTTTAGTCACCATCCCAACTCACTAATTGCAAGCCAGTTGTCTAGTGTATCCACAGGCTACACTAAAAAACAAGTAAATTTTAAGTCCCAGTTACCCAAGACCTATCCTTTCCAGTGCCTCTTACCCTTTCTCTATAGATGGAGGAGGTCTGTTTTATGCTTTTAAATACAAAAGTAGGTAACATAGATGATAAGAATCTATTTTAAGAAGTAAGGATTTTTTTAAAGTTCCTGTATAACAGAAAAGGATTGGAAGTATGTAGGCAGTGGTTGTATCAAGTTTTTATTTTATTTTGATAAAATAAGAGATGACTTATTTTCTTTTTTCCTATCTTCCAAGTCTGTAATTGTGTCATAGAACTACAGTAGGGAGAAAAAATATAAACATGAAGTGGATGGGGGAAGAACCACTCTCAAATATAGATAATGATGGACCAAAGTAGGAATAAGGCTGGAAAAGAAGCCAAAAATTCAAAAGATATTTATGAAGTATAATGAACAGATTTGATTAGATATGAGGGGATAGTTTTAATACTATCCAAGCTTGTAACTTGGTCCTGTGGGTCAAAAACAGTGCCAGTAGTTGAGAGGAAAATTAAGAGAGAGATGTCCATTTTGGGTGAAGAAAAGTTAAAGGTAGTGAATTCAATTTTTATGTGAACTGTGCCTGTTAAAAATTAGTGTACATAAAATCCAGTGAGCCATGCAGCTTAAAATATGGTTCTGAATTTAGCACAAAGGTATAGAAAGAGATTTGGCAGTCACTCCCCAGTAAATGGGTGTAGAGGAGAAAGAAGGTATAATGTAAAAACAGAAGAGAACTGCATACAAAATCCTAAGGCATGCCACTGTTTAAAGTTCAGGTGGAGGAAGGATTCTGTGAAAGAGAAAGAATAGAGGTAAAAGAAGCAGAAAAGAATGTTATCACTTGAAGCCATAGGAGGAGTTTCAGGCAGGAGGAGAGATCAGAAGGAGCTAATGCTACTAATAGGACACAAGATAAAGACCAATACATATTCCTTAGAATTTGGCATTTAGACATTAATACCCTTAGCAAGAGTAGTTAGGGAAGAGGACAGAAGCTAAAAGGTACAGACTACCTTACAAAGCTTATCTATATTGAGTCTTTGCCTCTTTTCTCTGAAGAGTCATACAATTTTGGAGGAAACAGGATTTGTTCATAACAGAGTTCATTATAGTGGTGTTACATGTCAACATATTAAATTCTACCATGTAGAACACTGTATTGCTCATCTATTCAACACTTCAAATTCTAGATGATCTTTCCTTCTTCTTTTCCATTAATACTTCTGGGCTGTTTTCATTCTGCTTTCTGTTAGCATAAATCCAGAAAAACACAAAATTGAAGAAGCCTGCACATATGCTGCTACCAAAGTCACCTTGAAAGGGAATACTATATAATTAAAATATGAGGCTTCATGAAATCTAGGTATTATGTGAAGCCTGAGAATTCTTAAGGAAGTCCATTTTGTCTATATTGAACATTACACGTGTGACTTTTTTCCAAGTTATACCACCAGTAACCTTCCACAATTTTTGAGTTCCGCACTTTCCACCAAAAAAAAAAAAAAAGACAAGCAAAACAACAAAAGAAAAAATCCCGCAAAAATCAAGGCACATATGTTTCAAGAAGTGCTTTTCAACTTTTTTAAAAGTATGTAATGTCTGGTCCAAGACCTCACTTTGTTAATCTTTTACTGGTACACTATAATTATAATATATTCACTGTAGTATATTTATACCTACACATAGCATAATTTGGTATATATCATTCCCCACTACCTCCCTTTTCCCTCCTATCTTCCCTCCTCCTGATCCTAATTTCTCCCTGTTATTTTCACAAGATCTTGTTTCTCTCCTTCTCTTCTCTCTAGCTTTCACATACAAGAGAAAACACATGACACTTTTTCTGAGTCTGGCTTATTTCACTTAGTATGATGTTCTCCAGTTCCAACCACTTTCTTGATAATAACATAAATTCATCGTTTTTTATGCCATGTCCTCATTTTACAGTGGCTTTTACCCATAGTGGCTTGTCCAAGTTTCCAGAACCTGGGTCTCATGCTTACTAATCCAGACCAGTTTTTTAAAACCATTATGATATTGTACCAAAAAGCCAGTATATTTTAAAAATAAATTTACTGTTGAATAGAAAGAATACTACAGTACTTTAATGCAGTATTATTTTATTTCTTTATTTATTGTATACAAATCAACAAGACAGTATTACTACTGGCTGTTGGCTAGGGTAGTAGGAGTCATTTCCATGTATAAATAACTGAGAATTACAATAATAGTCATTTTATATAGAATGATCTTTATAAATGACAGAGAACTTAGATACCTAAGTATCTTAACAATTTTTTGTAACACATTTTAAAGTATTTCAAGGATTGAGAGTTCGAAGCCAGCCTTAACAACTTACAAGGCCCTAAGCAATTTAGTGAGACCCTGTCTTTAAATAAAATATCAAAGGGGTTAGGGATGTAGTTCAATGGCTAAGCACCTCTCAATTCAATCCCCACTACCAAAAAATAAATGGGATCTTTTCTGAATATGCTGTAACACTGACTTTTTCTATTAGTGTTAAGAAATGTCAAACTCAACTCTGTTCCAGTTTTATATCACTCAATATTCAACACTAGTGGCTGGGGTTGTGGCTCAGTGGAAGAGCGCTCACCTCACATGTGCGAGACCCTGGGTTCCATCCTCAGCACCACATAAAAATAAATAAGTGAAATAAAGGTGTTGTGTCCAACTACAACTAAAAAAATAGTTTAAAAATTTAAAAAATATTCAATATTGTCCTTTTTATTGGTTCTTTTTATACATGACAGTAGAATCCATTTTGATATAATTGTTTAAGCATGTAATATATCTTATTCTAGTTAGGACTCCATTCTTATGGATGTACAGGATGATGGGATTCACTGTGGTGTATTCATATGAGTACGTAGGATAATTATTTTGGATCCATTCCACTCTTTTTTCTTTACCTCCTCCCTTCCCTTTATGCCCCTTTGTTTAATCTACTGAATATCTTTTCTTTCCCTTTTCCCCCTTATTGTCGGTTAGCTTCCACATAACCAGCAAAAACATTCAAACTGGTTTTTTGAGACTTGCTTATTTCACTTAGCATGATTGTTTCTGGGTCTATCCATTTATTTGCAAATGTCATAAAGGCATTCTTCTTTGTTGCTGAGTAATATTCCATTGTGTATATATACCACAATTTCTTTATCCATTCATCTATTGAAGAGCATCTAGGTTGGTTCCATAGCTTAGTTGTTGTGAATTGAGCTACTGTACACATTGATGTGGTTGTGCACTGTAATATGCTGATTTTTAATTTTTTGGATAAGCAGGGCTTTGGATAGTTGGGTAGTTCCATTCCTAGTCTTTTGAGGAATCTCCATACAGGGTGTTTGCACCAGTTTGCAGTCAGCAATTTATCAACCCTGATACAATGTATCAACCAGAGTGTCAACCCTGTTCTTTTCCCCATAGACTGTCAGAGAGCTAATACACATAGTTATCAATTAATATTTGTGGACTTATCTTCATCTCAGTGACCAGCAAAGCTGGAACCTATCTGGAATTATCTGATAAGGACTCTTGTTATTACATGTGCCACAATAACACTGGAAGATGGTCCTGGCTGTGAGTTGGGGAGATAGTGGTTCAGCATGACAAAGTAGGTGCCCCTTCAAATCATCAACACAACCATTTTATTTAAAAATTCAACTCAAATATTTATTTGATACTTGCTGTGGGTCAAGTTCTACACTCAGTCTGGGGTTGAGAACATGAGGATTAAGAAAAGAAAGACAACACATCTACTTGGGGAGATTAGGGAAGACTTCCCAAAAGAGACAGTATTTGAGATGGCCCTTGAATAAGGGGAAGGGCAGTGTTTCTCAAAGTGTGATCCCTGGAGCATCAGTATGCATCTTTGTAGGAAACTTACTAAAAATGCAAATTCTTGGGTTCTACCTAGACTACCAATTCAGAAGCTAGTGGGTAGGAGAACCTCAGTCATCTGAGTTTTAATAAGCATTTCAAGTAAGACTGATGCACAATAAAGTTAGAAACTATCAAGCTAGGATTTAGGCAGGAGAAGACAATAGTGAAGATATCAGTTTCAGGAAAAAAGTCAACCCAGCACATACTTTAGCATCTGCCACTACTTCCTGCTTATTTTCCTTTTATATACCCTGACCTGCATGCTTTTCACTCTGTTTCCAACTAATTATCCTCTATACATGCTCTTTCTTGGAGGATTCATTATATTCTTATATTTTCATTATATTCCTCTCATACCCCACATCTTATTTTCCTCTCCAGTCAGTATTACTCACTTTTTCTCTCACTTACCACCTGTTTCAGGCCGTACATGTTTCAATGGAAATTTTACCTCCCTCACCATCTCCATTCTCCAGTCTGTCTCCCTTCATTATCCTTGGCATATTTGTAGTCCCACACATAAACATTTACCACTCTACCTTTGGGAAGGATCTTCAAGTAGTCCCTTGATCAACATTTATGCCTTTCTCTCTCAATCTACTCTCAAATCACTTATGCTGCTGCTGTCTTCCTTACTGGCTTCTTCTAATTCTTTCTTAGATTATAACTATATAATATGATAGTACCGAAACCAAAATGGTACTAAATATGTGCTATATGTGTTATGACTTCTCATTATTTTGTAATACATTCATAATGTTTACATATTTTCTACCATAGGCTTTTGTTTTTCAAACTTAGACTAGGATCTGTTTGTGTACTATTTGTTACAGGTGACAAAACCAAGACTGAGAATGAAGAATTATCCCAGAAAGATGATATGCCCAAAGATATGGAATTCCTTGGGGAAATAAATGACAGATTTAGCAAAGATCTTCCTCAGCAACCTGAATCCAAAGATGCTTCTGAAAATGAGTGTAGGTTAAACTGTCAACAAAGGGAAAGAAGAAAATATAAATGTGATTAATGTGGAAAAAGTTTTAGTCAAAGCTCAGCTCTTAATAAACACAGGAGAATTCACACTGGAGAGAAGCCCTATAAGTGTGATGAATGTGGAAAAGCCTTCATTCAACTCTCACATCTTATGGGACATCATAGAGTACAACTTGGAGTAAAACTGTAAAAATGTAAAGACTGTGGGAAAGATTTTAGTGGTATTATTCAGTGTGATGAATGTGGAAGGCCCTTCCATGTAAGTTCAATTTTTATTAGACATCAAAGAATTCATATAGCAAATAAGCTCTAATAATATGGTGGAAGTAACAAAAGTGATTTAGATGCTCAGGCATAATTAGTTACAGAGAATGTTACCTTAGATACCTTATAAATTTCCTTAATGTGGGCAAAGTTTCAATCATCATTTAAAAAGCTTCTCTGGACCCAGAGAATATATCAGTATAAAATATCTGTTTATTCTAAGTTCAGTTTCGGGGAGGAATTGAGTTATTTCAGAAAGCCTTGCCTGATGACAACACTGTGTATTTGTAGCCCAAGACTGATATTTTCTAGTTAAAAGTGAATTCCTCTCTATTCTAGTTCCCTTTTACTTACCCATTCAGTGTATGACATTAGGCAATTTTTCTCTGAATTCATTTTTCATTCACATTTTTCTCTGAATTCATTTCCCCTACATAATAACAGAGACCCACCAGCTATATTTTGACAAGTTAAAATAGATAAAAACTGGTATAATGGCCTAAATAATAATCCCTTCTTTACCTTGAAGTAGGAAGTATGATCATTTTATGGAAGTGATAAAAAATAGAAAGCCATCAAGAAAGACAGAAGGCTGAGGGAAACATTAAGGTGTGGGGAAAACAGGAAGTAATCGACAGAAACTACTAGGAAGTGGGGTTAGGGACCTGTAACTTTGGATAAATCACTTCTCACCCCTTTTCAGAACAGGAGATTGAATAAATCACTTCTTGATCTCAGTTCATTGATCACTGAGGGAGATGGGAGTAAGTTAGTCTAGAATTGTATTATTCAATATGGTAGATAGTATCTACATGTGGCTATATAAATTTAAACTTTAACTCAAGTACAATGGAAAGTGCCATTTCTCAATGACATTAGCCACATTTCAGGTTGAATATCCAGAATCTAAAACTTTCTGAACACCAGCATGACCCCACAAGTAGAAAATTGCACACCTGATTTTATGTGTTGGGGTGGCAATGAAAATGCAGGCATAAACACATAGTTTATTCAACATCCCCAAGGGAAAAAAGACCCTTCCAGGCCTTTAGTTGCTATACACAAACTTTATTTTCTGCACAAAATTATTTAAAATATTGTATAAAGTTACCTTCAGGCTATGTATATAAAGTATATGTGAAATGTAGCTGAATTTTATGTTATGTTTAGACTTGAATCCCATCCCCAAATAGTACATTACCTACATGCAAATATATTTTTTTAAAAAATCCATCTGGTTCCAAGAATTTTAAATACAGGATACTCAGTGGTAATAACAGCACAAATATAGATTTTTTAAATTATTTTTATCATTGTAGAATGTTCTAAAGGATATTGCTGTCTAAATCAATCACTATTAAGATATCTTCCAGCCTTGACAATGTGTGATTATGAATTTAAGGAAGCTAAAGAGACACCTATGGAGGCTGCAATAGCAACAGGAGTCATCCCTAGAGAAAATAATAGTAGCCAGCATGGTGGTATGTGGCTATAATCCTGGTGACTCAGGAGGCTGAAGCAGGAGGATTACAAGCTCAAGGCCAGCCTGAGCAACTTATTGAGACCCTTTCTCTAAAAATAAAAAAGTGGGGCTAGCAATATAGCTCAATTGATAGAGTGCTTGCCTCACATGCACAAGGCCCTGGGTTCAATCCCCAACACAACAAAAATAAAAATAAACAGTAATAATCATATACAGAATTTTTTCAGCCTTAAAAAAGTATATTATAATTAGAGTAAGATAATTATTCAAGTAAATATAATCTAGTAATCTGATCTAAATTGAAAGTTTAAATTACTACCCTACCTCTGAAAAGGATCCCTTGTAATACACCTTACACTAATGAGAATCTAGGACTCTCAGGATACCAATGCTTGAAGATCATGAATAATCCAGACTTTTTTCTTTAGACTTCTGAATGGACTTGCAACAAATTTCCATCCCTAATTTGAGAATTTCATAGTAGGACAGGCCCAGCACATTCAAATTCATACCACCATCAAACTGCCCAAACCTCTGGTTTCTTGACTTTCTAGTAATCATCATCACTAAAAATATCAAGAAAAAGGTGATCTATCTCTTTAAATCCTTTGTTAACAATATTAATTAATCACTTTTCATTCTTGCATTATATTTGAGAAAGGAAAACCACCAGAATCATTTTTATGCCTCGTACAATAGGAAGATGAATCTTTATGCATACCTTGTAAGACCATAAACTGAGTTTTTGTGTATTTGGAACACAAATATATATATATGTTTGCTTTCAATGTCATATTATCAACTGATAGTTTTTAAAAAATGTTCAGTTTCACACTAATACTTGTTTTATGATTTACTATAATTGAGAAATATTTCAAAGCATTTGAAACAATTGAGAAAAGTATTTCTCAACAGTCCTAAAGGAAACTATTACAAAATCTCTAGGATTAGAAACATTCTTATTTTTAAAGTAAAATAAGGTGTTTATTGAATAATAGCTCTTTCCTTTTACCTTTAGTCTTGCTGAGACACACTATAATTCTTGGAAGCTATTTACAGTCTTTATAGGGGAAACTCATGTTTCTGATCTTAGCTGTCCTCAAATTTAGAGAGGCTTCTGCAATAAGAAGAAAGATGCTCTTGACTACTACAAGATTAGGTTTCCTAAAATTACCAAAGACATGACAGACTGATTTTTATTTATCATCTTCTATATGATAGTACATTGAATTCATCTAGTAGTTTTGAATACCTGTTATATACAAAAGAATTTTTCTAGTCTTTTATACCCTTAAAGGCCCAATGAAGAGCAGTTTGGAGCATTACAACCATGTTACCCTTTTTAGGTTTGCTGTGGATTCCAAATTACCCATAGTGTCCCCCTCAGGTTTGTTCTAGTATTGACCAGATAGGTAATGGTAAGTCAGGGAGGGGCAGAATGTTGTGGGGCCAGAGTCATTGGAGTAATATAAGCAACAGAAGAAAGGTCAGTGGATCTGGGATCACTGTATGCAAAGGAGGCATAAACTCAAAGGAGATCTGGAGAAACAAACAATTTACTAGGAAGTTTGTAGAAACCCACAGAAGAAACTGGTGAGGGTACAATCCATTGGAAAGAATAGCACTGAGTTCAGTCACTACTATAGTTATTGGAAAAGAATATATATATATATATATGTCAGAAACTGTAATCATAAATCACTAGGTTCTAACAGATGAACAGCACTAAAAGAAACTAAAAGAAACTTGAACATGAAGGGCAGTCTCAAAGAGCTGTGTTAGAAGCATTTGTGTTGTTGTTTCTACCATCTTTGGGGAGAGAAGAGGCAAGAATTTGTATTTTGTAGTTTTCAGGAATAGGACCATAAGAGGCAGCTGTAGGAAATATGGGGGGCAGCTCTCTTATTAGACCCAGAGGACATTTGTGGAAAACTGGTAATTCTGCATTCAGTGAGCTGTTTTACTCAATTTTGTGTTGCTATAACTAAATAACTGAAACTAGGTAATTTATAAAGCAGATAAGCTTATTAGGCTCACAGTTTTGATGGGTCCTAATAGCATTATGCCTGTGTCCTGGTAAGGGCCTCCTTACTACATCACAACATTAGGAGGCAGAAGGAGCCAACACATAACATTCCTTTTTAACAATCCACTTTCTCAAAAACTCATCCATCTCAGGGGCCTGACCCACCCTCAAAACACAGCATTAATCCAGGCATTGTGGTGTATGTCTGTAATCCTAACAGTTTGGGATGTTGAGGCAGGAGGATCAACAGTTCAAAGCCAGCTTCAGCAACTTGGCTGGGCCCTAAGAAATTTAGTGAGACCCTGTCTCAAAATAAAATTAAAAAGACTGGGAATGTGTCTCAAAGGGTTCAGTGCCCCTAGGTTCAATCCCCAGTACCAAAAAAAAAAAAAAAAAAGCATTAATCCATTCAAGAGGATAGAGCCCACATGACCTAATTACCTTCCAGTAGGTCCCACATCTTAAAGGTCCTACAGTCTCAACACTGCCACACTGGGATTCAGGTTCCAGAACATGAATCTTTGAGGGGCAAAGCACAGCAGGAGCCAATAGTTATGGATAGATAAAATAGATGAGTATTGGGGGAGAGGGCTGTAGGTGGTGCAAAGGGGCACTAACAAAGAGAAAGAAAACAAGATAGAGTAAAAAAGGAACAGAAGAAAAGGGGAATAAAAAAAAGGACATAAGAAAAGAAAAAATAAGGAAGAGAGAGGGTAAGCTAGAACAGGGAGACAGGTAATTCTAATATATTGGCAGATACAGGTCATACAAAGGTGAACACAATAGCTCCTGAGCTCCGTTAGGTCATTTTATTCTCCTTAAAGTTACTTAAAACAGTTAACTGGTGTTTGACCTTCATGAACTTACTGCATTGTTGCTGTTATGGGTTTTTGTTTGGTTGGTTTTGTTTGGTGGTGTTGTGTATTTTGTTGTCCTCTCCTGTCCTGTCTTGATTTTGAATTCTAGGGATTGAACTCAAAGGCACTCAACCACTGAGCCACATCCCCAGCCCTATTTTGTATTTTTATTCAGAGAAGGTCTCACTGAGTTGCTTAGCAACTCACTGTTGCTAAGGCTGGCTTTGAATTCACGAGGGATGACAGGCTGTGCCACCACACTGGCTGCTGTTATGTTTTTAGATAATACCTGTATATTTCCAGTTACCATAATTTTAAACCGCTGCCTAAATACCTAACCCCAACACTAAACCGGGCAGTCCAGCCTATCCACTGGCAGAGAACACCATTTGCCCTCTCCTTCATATCAACACTCACCAGACAGACCTCTTCCTGTGGTTTTGAGGCTGTGGAGGCAGGCCTACTACACACCTAAATTCAGTGGGCAGCTCTGGAACCATTAGCAACCAGCAGTGGATAAAGGTAACAAGAGAACTAGAAAGGGGCATTGGCCTTTCCCAGTTCCGGAAACGAAACACTGGGGTTCCGGCTTGGAAAGAAATCCAAGGCACCCCACACAAATAAAGAGGGGAATAATTTTCCGGGGACTGGAAACTCACTTCCCCACAGCCAGGCCGTACTTT